ATTTTTCACGGCGCTGAGCGAATGCATAAACGAGAGGCTTATGGTCGGTGTAAATCGTGGCGTGTTGAACCTCTAGGATGTGTCGAAAATGTTGGACGCTTTCGTACACAGCCAGGAGTTCTCGGTAGTATGCCGGCCACCCCGCCTGCTTCGTCGTGAGTTTCTTGCTAAAGTAAGCAAGAGGTTGCCAGGCATCGCCAACTTTTTGTTGCAGACACGCGCCGATATGTACACTTGATGCATCAGTGAACAGGCCCAAGTGGGCCTCGGATGCTGGATGAGATAAAAGCGTGGCGTCAGACAGACTTTTCTTGCAGCTCTCAAAACATTGACGGAGTTCAGGTGTCCAGGGGAACGGTTTGGCGCCCTTGCTATTAGTCGCGGCCACTGCATCAATAAGGGGTGCTTGGTACTTGGCGGCGCTGGGCAAGAATCTACGATAGTAGTTTATCATGCCTAGGAATCTACGCACACCTTGTACCGTCTCGGGAAAAGGGAAATCACACAAGGCACGGATGCGGTCCTCGGGAGGATACGTGCCCGTAACGTTAATGCGGTACCCTAAAAAGGACACCTCAGTTGCCCCGAAAACGCATTTTGCCGGGTTGATGACTACTCCGTACTCCTGAAGGCGGCTAAGCAAGAGCCTGAGGTGTTCAGCGTGCTCTTTGGTATCCTTGGAATACACGAGAATGTCATCGACGTATGCAAAACAGAAATCTAAACCTCGCACCACTTCGTCTATGAATCGCTGGAAGGTTTGACCAGCGTTCCGGAGTCCGAAGGTCATGTAGGGGAACTCATATAGTCCGAAGGGCGTTATAATAGCTGTTTTGCAAATATCTGCTGGATTAACGGGAATTTGTTGGTAAGCTTTTACGAGATCTAAAGTACTAAATATTGTGCAGCCGGAGAGGTTATGGCTAAAATCCCCTACGTGACGGACCGGATAGCGGTCCGGAACGGTGCGGGCGTTTAGAGCCCTGTAGTCACCGCAGGGCCGGTAGGTCTCGTCCTTTTTGAGCGCTAAATGTAAGGGAGAAGACCAAGGGCTGCTAGAGGGTCTGGCCGTACCTACTCGTACCATCTCCTCAAATTCTTTTTGAGCAGCCCGAAGTTTTTGAGGAGCTAGACGACGAGGACGTGCTGAAATCGGTGGTCCGTCGGTGGTTTTAATGTAATGCACTGTGGTGTGCTTAGGATCTTTGGGCGCCCCTGGGGGTCTTGAGACGCTAGGGAATTCAGCCAATATGTGCGCAAACGGGGAGGCAGGTGAGTGGATCAATTTAATACTGGGCTGGCTGAAAGAAACGATTTCAGTGTCAGTACATAAGCCGGTTATGTCGTCTCGCAATTTTGCTCGGGCGCAATCGGGCAATAAATTATAGTGGGCCAGAAAATCTGAACCGATAATGGGGGTGCCTACTTCAGCCACAACAAATTTCCAATCGAAATCACGACGTAACCCTAGATTTAATTTTAATTGGACTAGGCCGAATGTACTGATTTTAGTCCCGTTTGCCGCGATTAATTCGTATGGAAGGGGCTCAGTTTTCCCTTTGTGATGATGACGCGGTAGACAGGAAAGGTCGGAGCCAGTATCAACAAGAAATCGACGATTTGAATAACGGTCCGTAACAAACAAACGGCGACTCACCTGTGAGCAATCAGATGTCGCCATCACTGATTGCTGTTGGTGTTTCCCGGGTTGTTAGTGGCAGTTGCCATATTATTGGGCCAACTACATGGTGAAATGCATTTCGAGGCTTTCGCTCCAAAACGCTGGTGATACCAGCAAAGCTGAGAAAGAGAGCGTGAACGACTGCGAGAACGGCTGAAAGGGCGTCTGTGGCCACTACTTGCGGTGAGAGAGGAAACCGCAAGTGTCAGGTTGGCCACTTGCTGTTGCAATGCCCGCAGCTGCTCTCCCATGCCGTCGTTCGCTGTACCGGCCATTTCTGCGCTATGGATGCTTGCAGGTTGTGGGCCAATTTCACTCAGTTTATCGGCTAATTCACCAAGATCCTGGAGGGAGGCCTGTTTTTGGGCTATCAGTATTCCTTGATATGTACTAGGTAACCTATTTAGCCAAATAGTTTGTATGAGTTGTTCTGGTACAGAGGTGCCAGCTAAAGATATAAGATGCCTAAGAAAAGATGATGGTCTCCGATCACCAATGTCTTCTTTTTCTAACACTTTCTTTATTTTTTCCTCATAAGAATCTGAGAAACGGTTAATTAAAGCGGTTTTTAATGAAGTGTATGGTTGGTGAGAAGGTGGAGCTGTAATAATATCTTCCACCTCACCAGCAGATTTAGTGTCAAGTTGGCTGACAGCATAATAATATTTAGTTAACTCTTGTGTTATCCTGTTAATGTGGAATTGTGCCTCGAGGCTGGCAAACCACAAACTGGGCTTGTCCGGCCAGAACGGAGGGACACGGATAGTCACTCTGTTGATGATAGGTGGGTGTGTAGGTGATGTTTTCTGCTCACTGCCAGAGTCAGTTAGGTCATGAAATATTTCCTGAGTTTTATCAGTCATTTTTGTAAAATAAAAATAAGTAAACGAAATGAGTACACACAGAAATTGCTCCAAACAGAAGTCAATTATTGAAAAAAAAAAAATGAAAATAAGTAGTATTAACAATAATATGCAATAAAAAATGCAAAAATTCAAGCCAGACCAAACAAAATGCAATATGTATTAGTTTTTAGCGACCAACACCCCGTTATAATATTAGATGAGTAATTATTATGTCCAATGCGATATGCAAGCTATAGCATGCAGTATCCAGTATTGTAACTTGTATAAGCCGCACTTTGAACACACACTATTGTTATAGTATTTAGTGTAAGGTATATGGTACAAACGCACCTGACCGGTTGTCTTTATGTAGAGTAGGTAAGTGTACCCACTAACCAACAGGCAGCACTTTGACAGATGCCACGTAGGCGCCAGCAAGTTTTCCTTATTGACGGGCAGCGACAGAACAGGTAGCGACGAACAGCGACAGGTGACGCTGGGCACGGACAGGCATCAACTTGCGCGTAGGTTCCGTGAAGCCAGGTCGTCGTCCAAAAGGTCTCGTTGGCGTTGGCGACTCCAGTAACTTCTAAGTCTGCAGTTTTCGTTGGATCGCCTCAATTTGTCACGCGGTGCGAATTAGCGGTATAGCTCTTGTAGGTACCAACTAGTCGAAGATTGCCGAACACGATGCCAGTTCGTTCGTGATTTTTTTGATCACGTCCGTCGGGGTCACCAATTTGGCGTAGTGCGCCGTGTAATTTATAGGCAGACTTTAAATAAAACTCGTGAAGTTCAATGGCAAAACTTGTAATCGACTTCTCTGTCCAAAAAGCGTAACGGCGTAAAGTGTCACCGAGTTAAACATGAAAAACCTAGACGATCAATGGCGACCATAAACAATATCAATATTCTCGTCTTAATATATTATAAGTGGGTCCCATACATATCTCTGATAGTGGGACGCCACAGCACTTACACTTACAATTGATCGTTCCGTAAAAGAATACTGCAACGAATATGTAAAAAGACACTGCAATATGATTAGTGAGTTATGACACCGCACACCGTGTCCACTTCATACAAACGCAAAACACGCACGTCGTCGCGTCGATGCACTGTTGCGAAAATCGCATTTGCGAAATCTTTGGGGTAAATAAACTAATTACGTAATTACAGGTGCTAATCAAACAATTAATATGTAGTACTCATACTGCGGCGTTGACTAAAATTGGAAGTAACTGCAGGAAGCCGATGTGGGTTAAAAAATTCCCGCCTGCCAATTTTCCGTTGACTCAATAGTTTCTCGTTCATACATATTAAGTGATATGTAGCTTGACATGTATGTAATAGGACTACATTGGTACTTAATGAGTTGGTGTAATAATCTTGGCTTTTCTTAACTAGTTTCTAGAGTTGTTTGTTGGTTTACCCATCAAGTGAAACGGGCATCATCGTCACCTAAGTTATAGAATCAGAAAGGGATTTAGAAGTTCTAAGGTTTAATAATATTAGGTGGGTACTTATATCCTGATATTACTGCAGGCACAATGACATATATTCTATGGAAATAGATCAACACCTCGTGTGTTTATTAAAAAACGAAGATGTCTTGCTTGAAGGTTACATTGATAGAGCATGTAATTGTCTACATAATTTTTGGGCAATAACTGCAGATCATTACGTTTCCCGCTTATTTGTCTGTATTCCTTAATTTGTATCTTCCAAGTTTTTATTATGTAGGCACCTATGTATAAATAGTATTTCATGACAGCCAATATGTGTAGCCGCCAGCTCTAATTTAAACTGTCAAACACCAAACGGTCACCGGTGACCGCAACCTATTGTTCTATAATTGTGTCTATAATGACGGTACTCGACGAGTTAACTTCCGTTTTCTTTTATATACCTAATGTCGATTTATAATAAAATTACTAGTTATAATATTGAAACAATACAACCCCAACAAACACGGCATCGCGTAAACATAAACAGGATCAATTGAAATTACCGCTAAAAAGAACGACGTCACACAACAGCCATTCAGTATAATTCCTATGGGAAACATCAGAAGTTAATGAAAAAATATAACAACGATACTCACAAAAAAGAGTTGTGATTTTCTTTCAGCCATCATCAATCATTTTCATGAAATAAGAAGATGTTTGATTATTTAACATGAGGACAATCCCGGCAAATTCGGTTTTTATTTGTTGACATATTTTATTTTTACTTTTTCTGTACACTCCATTTCACGCATTGAGAAGAAAATATGACTATTGTGAATAGCAGTACATTTTAACATTTTCAGTAAGTTTTAAAGGAAAATAAAACCGCTTGATGAAAAGTAATAAATTACAATCGTTTTATGATAAAAAGACAAAAAGAATATATATATGATAGAAGGAAAGATTTTTGTCATGTAAAAAAACTGGCGTATTACGGAGCGCGACATTTTATAGGGATGAGATCACTCAAATATCAATTTGACATTATAGGAACTATCGATTAAAAAAACTTAAATTACGCAATGAATACTTTATTTCTCATTATATTGAAGTTAAATTGATATTATATATTTCATGCTAAAAGACCACTGTTGTTTTTCGATTTATATGTCTAAAATTATTGTAAAAATGTTTACATTTGTACAACTTTAGTCGATTATCAATTTTACTCGATTCATATAGTTGACATCACTACTTACTAATCAATGAACCGCTGTTCGTGACGACTGTGATTTTGATGGAATTTTGTTTTATCTAATAAAAATCCCTCCAAAATGAATTGTGTTGACTAAACTTTCGTGTATTGGTACAACATGGTTATTTTGTAACACGGAAAGCTAATTTAAAACTCATTGCTTAAGTTATAGAGGTTAAGTGTGCCTTGAAGAAATTCGGTCATTGTAAAAGTTTTTTTACTTAATAAACATGAACAGTGAGAAGAGAAATACACGCGGAAGGGGCCGTGGCCGCGGCCGAGGCCGTGGTCGAGGCAGGGGTAGGGGTAGAGGCAAGAAAGTTGCTAAAGTAATGTCAAGTGATGAAGAGGAATGCTCCGTGGAAGAAACCACTCAAGAACAAGAAGAAACCGTTGTTGAGGAGCCTAAAGAGGAGCCTGAACCTACTGAACCAGCTAAATGTAAGTTAGAACTAACTTATTAAGGCGTTTCTATTCAAAAACCACCACCAAAACTATGTACAATAAATACATCTAACATTCTAAACACCAAAATTTACAATTTAATTTCAATTATATGGTGCCAATTAGAATACAAGCAACTGCATTCCATATCTGGGGATGCTTGACAGATAACCTCACTTTCACACTATCAAAAAATAAATATATCTATAGTCAGAATTTTAATTAGATTCCAGATTTGACAATAGCTACTGTCATTTTGTGAAATAATGATACCACATATAATAGTGTAGTGATGAACACAAAAATCGATAAACAATCAGTGTGTGTTTTTTATAATAAATGTTACAGAAAGTGACAGGACAGCGACAGCGATGACGGCGACAATTCATAAAATAACTTGTGACCATAATATATCTATCTGTTTTATTTGTCATGTTCCTTCATGATTACATTTTCTTATTTATTTCACACACAATTATAAAAGAAAAGTCTCAGACGTTAATTAATCGTCAAAACTAAATTATTGGTTCAGAAATATTTAATTTCCTGATCTACTTAGTTTACGAGAGTAAAATTATAAACGAGAAGAATCGATCCAGAAATATTGCATTTCCATATCGAATAATTTTGCAACGTCACTATTTAGTACTTGTCATAACGTTGCAACACTGAAATTGTCAAATCTGGAATCGAATTAAAATTCCGAGTATATATATAGAAGGTTAATAAGAAGGAACATAGAAGGTTACCATAATATCTATCTACATCATAATAGAATTCATTTTACTTGAAATTCATTGTTAGTACCAAATTAACTTCCTTCAAGCAATAAATAAATACAAACAAATATTCAACCAACAAAAACACACTTGTTTTGTGTTATCTATGAAGTGTTTATCAATGCTATGATTGTGTATTATCTGTTATCACCAAGATAGTGTCTGGCTCTCTTTAAACCATAGTGAAGAGGTCCAAATCTATATGTGTTATAACTATTAGGAATAAGTATGTCAGTTTGTAACTAATATTAAAGTGATTAGTGATTAATCAAAGATGATTAGTAAGTGCATCATTTTAACTATTTTAGGGTTGAGAGTATTAATACCTCTTAGATAAGGCTATAGTATTATTTCAAGTGCCTCTGCAGGGTCTATGTATTGATATGTTATTATAGATCCTAATAAATGGTATAGTACTATCTATTGATCAGTAAATCAGTAGATTCTAGTGATAAAAGTTTGTAATGAAGTCCTTATCAATTTTTTTTAATGACATGTGGTATTTAATCTCACAAAGCTATATTTCTGTTTTAAATGCAGTGTGCTTCTATTTTATATTGTGTATAATTTATTTTTATTTTAAAAACATGCAGTTATATGTATTTATAGTGTTTAAAATTCTAGTATTTTAGTCAGATCTTTGAACAAATAATCCATTTTGATAGCTTGTCATTTAAAAATTCATCCATGTTATAAATATGTATAAGTAATTAAACATTTCCTTTTCAACTTTCTAGTGGAAGTTCCATCAGACATATCTCAGCTAGAAGCTCCAGTGTTCACAACTCTACAGCGAGGGCCTCCGGAGCCCATGCTCAGGCTAGACTGGAGTCACCGAGCCACACTCATTGGGGAGAAAGTCCTCAACCCCATGATCTACTGCTGTGATATATGCTCTAAACCTATACTCATTTATGGACGAATGGTAAGAGAGACCATACTACATAGTGTGTATTTACTTACGAATTATTAAAGAAAAATGTTTATTTTATTTAAATGGGAAATTAATGCTACTTAAATATTTAATTTAAAGTTTTATAATATGAACATTTTATAGAGTGATTTTCATTTTCATTTGTATTGTGATATTATGGGGTGAAACTACGAAAATATTTTTTTTTTATTTATTAGTGTCCTAAAACACAATACAAAATAGTCTAGCTAGATTGTGATATTCAACATTTCTTCTCCTGTTTCAGATTCCATGCAAGCATGTGTTTTGTTTATCATGTGCCAGAGCAGAACATACTCACTGCCCTAGATGTAGAGAAAAGGTAAAATATTTTTAACTAGCGACCCGCCCCGGCTTCGCACGGGTGCAATATGCATGAATTATACATATAAACCTTCCTTAAGAATCACTCTATCTATTAAAAAAAACTGCATCAAAATTTGTTGTGAAGTTGTAAAGATCTAAGCATATATAGGGACAGACAGATGGCTGATAGCAACTTTGTTTTATACTATGTAGTGATACTTCTATCAATAGTATTATTTATCTTTATTGTTCTATAGTTTATTGTATTGTGTGATCTTTAATCTGAAATTTTATTGATTACAGGTCTTACGAGTAGAACAAACAGGATTAGGAACAGTATTCATGTGTACACATTCTGGTACAAGATATGGCAATACAGGTTGCAGGAGAACATATTTATCACAGGTAATAAATATCTGATTTCATTTGTCAGTTTTCAGTCATCAGAAATTGTTTGCTGTATATGCCACTTCTATCCTACAAGGAAGCAATATAATCAATGATTGGACCAGTACTTATCTGCCATTTTCATTTATTTTTTTACACAAATATGTACTCGAGAGTGACTGACAATCCAGTATTAAAAAATAAAATATTTTTACTGCAAATCTCATTACCTACTATCGTGTTAACATAAAAACATTATGATATTATTTCAGAGAGATCTACAAGCACATATCAACCATAGGCATGTGTCTTCAGGGGCAGTGGAGAGTAAACCAGAGCCTGAACCACCAACAAACACTGTTGCTATTGTGAAACCTTTGACTGTAAGTTTTATACATTTTTTTGAAATAACACAGTGGGGACAATGGTTCACGGAACAGTCCTAACGGAACGGTGTTGTGCGAGCCTGCTTAATAACTAAACATATGACAGAGACTAGAAAGATGTGCTACGAGATTATACTTATGTAGAGTAGGCCCAAAATTACAGTACGTAGCTTAATGGACCATAACTTTGTAAATGCTGTAATACACAATCTACAAACTTCCTGCCTTTATCCGAAGTCACTAACATCAACGCAATATTTCTTCTACAAGACAAGACAGTCTTCACAATAATTATTTTAAACGAAAATTTCGCAAAACAAGTTATTCACATAGAAATTTATCTTTCAGCAACTTCCACCGACTGCCGGCGATCCTCGCGGTCACGGCGGGCATGGCCACGCACCTTCTGGCGAACGACCCCGTGCCAGAACCAATCTCATCACCGTGCCCATACAAGACCAAACCGAGTCACACGCCTATTATAATTATTATCCTGTAAGTTATTCTTGTTTACTTGTTAATTTAGTTCAATCTATTGTCAAAAAGTTGGGGCAACTTCTTTACTGTTGTATTTTCGAATGTAATCCTTTCAATATATCATTGACAGCAAAGACATCTAAGCGAGCACACCAATTAGTTATCAAGTAATCCAAGTGCTTGTTTCCCTCCTGTCCCATAAAGAATTATGATTAATTTGGAAACTGCTCTCATAGGTATTAAAGTCACGTAAATGTGCCGAGGACACTTATCTTGCAAGCGCCATTAGTAATCATGTTTTGTCGCTGACAGAGTTCAACGCTCGTTTCCAAACAGTATATACCATTAAACATTTACATACTGTACGGAATATGACGGTTAAGACAGTTGTTGTGATATCTGTTAGCCTCCGCAGCCCGTGCCGCCGCCGTCGCTGCCGCCGGTGTCGTCGGTGCCAGTCCTAGCGCACACCATGAGCGTGCCGCCGCCCACTTACTACGCCACGGCGCCACCGTACTCCGCACCGCCGACTTATGTGCCTCCTGGTTAGTATTTCATGTGTATACCCATAGAATATAGCTAACAGAATAAAACTTGAAATGGCATGATATTATGTCATATCCTAAACACATATCACTTTCCAAAAGAAATCTTATCTAATCCTTATTCCCCCAGCAGGTAACATGGCGACAAACGTAGCTGTATCACCAATGTCGTCAACAGTTCCTATGGGGTCAGTGAACACTATCGGCGAGGGAGCTCGCTGGGGAGAGAGTTACCAGCAACCCTCGGTGCCGGTACAGCAGTGGCCTCCGCAGAACCCACACCATTACTATAGGTAGCCCCTGTATAAACGCCGCTATTCGTGGCGTGATCGCGAGTGACGTGCTTATTAGACTACAGTGCGCTCTTAAAACTCGTGGAAGCAAACAAGACACTATTGGACTTCAATGTAGTGCTAGGAACACTGCTGGGGCCTAAACAACGTATTTGGTGAATAATATGTGCAAAAATATACAAACAATTGTATGATCGAATAACAAATAAATGCTGCATTTTGCAGTTATCATGTGTGATAAGAAGTGTTGTAGAGATTATGTTCATCGGATACCCTGCATTTCGCCCCGATAGTGTCAACGCCTACAGTAGCAAAAATTCTTGTATCATTAAAATTTTAAAACCACATGTGTGATTATAAAATACATAACTGGGAAAGTAAAATGAGGTGTACAAAAACTTAAGGAATAAGTTTAAAATATGTAGTGAATCTTATTTCAATTTCCCTTAGTGTGATGCAGAATCACACATTAACAGCTAGACTGATTTTTAAGTCCAGAACCTGAATCCCAGAATAATGGGAATGCTATCCATGCTATGGTGCATGCAGAAGCGGTGGACTGCTTGTTTAACATAGACCCTTGTTTGTTCTTAAGTTTTTATTCACCTTATTTATTTTATATAGTATTAACTATAAGGCGTTTTATCACATTTCGGGCCTGTTTCATGAATCTAAGTTTTGATTTAAGTGCCAAAATGTGTTAGACAAACAGCAACTTAATCATCGTGAAACAAGCCTTAAGTGATAGTATACTCCCCTAATGTACAGGTCACAAGAATTCCTATATTGTATTCATGTTTTTTTTTTCAATGGAGTAGTATATTTTTATTTTCTTTTTTCTTAGTTCACATAGTAAGATTTACTCAAGATTCTGTATATTAGATAAAATATATGTAACGTTAATTATATTTACTCTTTATTTAGGATATTCTTGTACCCTAGATTGCCACTTACTGGCAAATTTTATTGTAAAGTGCAATGTTACAACTTTAACTCGCTATATGTATGTCACATATTGTTATAAGCAGTGCCTTTATGTAAATCTGCATAATCTGGTATGTATTCCAGAATTTTAAGAAGTCTATGTACATTGTATATATATACTCCTTATACAACAATAAGACTTATAATTTCTTGTTCTGTTCATGATCTGACTTAAAGAACTTCAAAATTTTGTAAGATATTCTGAAAAAATACAATAAAAATCTTAACTAAGTGATTAGATATTTATTTAATTAACACTAATCAATATCAATTATATTTACAATATGTCACATCTTTCACACTCCTCAGCTAGACACAATCAACAAATGCAATAAAATCTGCAAAAAATATTTACTTTTTATACCCCATACATTCAACTGTAACCATAACTATTGGATTTTATAAAGAAAAATATAATGAATACTATTTCGTATAAATTCACAGTGCCATTGCAGAAATGCTGTTTCTTACAAACTATCAAATTAAAATGCACATTTATCATGATTGTGATGTACATGAAATGCTCATAACTATCTATTAGTTAATTACCAATTGACAAACTTCATAAATATAATTAAATTCACATTTTAATATGGAATATCTGTGTCTGAGATCGAGATCAAGCACTCATAAAATCAACCATACCTATTTCTACATTGGTTCTGTGAACAGCCTTTTGTTTTAGTTTAAATCTTTGAGGATCATGATTGTTTTGTGGTGGGCGGGACGGGGTCAGTAAGGTCAACGAGCGTGGCTTCGGGCGGGGCTGCGGCCGCCTGGCTCGACGTGGCAGTGTCAGCCGGGAACTGCGGTATCACCTGTGACTGTACTTTCCTCACAGCATCCATATTCACTTTGGTCGAAAGGTTCTTTTGTCGCGTCTGTTCGGAAGTCTTCGATAATCTCTCGCTCAATGCTTTGAGCGCGATTTGTCTAGAAAAAATTAGAACAATTTTAATATTCAGAGATATGACAAATGTGTCAGTTCCTACCAGTTGGTCAAATTACCTTACAATCATTCTAGTAATTATAATGCTAAGCAAAACCTGATAAATATTGAAGAATAGAAATTCAATATCTTACCTTCGTCTCTCCATATCTTGTGGCTCCACACCTGGCATTGAAATGGTGACACCTCTAGGACTGAGTGCAAGATGCACGCGACGAGGGCTAGGCGAACAAATTCCAAGTCGCACCAGGCAACGATGTGGCGGCCCTAAGATTCCTCGCACCACTGGCTGCAGGACCGTGGGGAAGAAACTACAAACCAAACAATGGAATTTTTTTTTGAAAATGTTATTTAGCCTAAAATTTATTTAGATTGCACCAAGCCAATTCTCTCCAGCACCACATTTCTAAAGTATCTTTATTTTTTCTCAAATTCCAATTACTATTATATTAACCATCTAATAACAATTAATATAAAAATCTTATCAATAATTGACTTGCATTTACCATTAGGTAGAACATTTCCTTTTGTAACTGATTAGATTATTGTTTATAGGTTTGGAAATATTACTTAAGTTTTGTTCTGATTTGTGGTTTATTGATTGCAGAAAAATATTCACTTAAATTCAAAGCATTACAGACAACAATGTACTGGATGAATAACATCCCATTGTTCTCTGCAACACTTGAGAAGATCTACAGCCAAAACAAATCATTTGTCCATGAATTCTTCAAAGTATTTTTACATGAGTATTTATAATTCCAACAACTAAATAAATTGTAACAAGACAATTAAAGTGTGGTTCTGTTCATTTGTGCTTTTGAGCACCAGTTTGACACAATTAGATAGCTATGTTAGTGTTTGTAGCAGATTAAAATGAACAACTTACTTATCAAAACTGAAATTATCAGCCATGTCTCCTCTTGTGCCACTGCTATGCCTCTGCCAGAACCTCAGGTAAATCCAGGACAGTATAGTGCCACTGCCCCACATACAAGGGTATGTGCCCTCCAAAGCTCCAATAGCCCAGAGAATTATAGCTGCTATTAAAATCAGGAGGGGCAATGATCTGTTTGTTAATTTCCCTGAAACATCAAATAAATGCACCCTGAATAATGATGTCACAACATGAAATTATAGATAATAAATATTGAATGACTTCAGACCATAGTAACTAATTGCTCAGATATTTTGGAAGCAGGAAATAGTTCACTAAAGGATTATTACATTTTATCCTCTGTAAACTTATTAGAAAATAAATGTTAATATATAACAAACAATTCATACCTAATGGTGTTTTTATCAGCAGATGATCTGGCATTATCTGCTTCACGGCAACACTCACCGCAGCCAGGTAACCCGCTAGCCCATGGACATGAATATCAAACAAGTAGGACGTTTGTCCTGTACACGCAAATATCACTAGATAGTAGAACGTTGTTAGAAATGCAACACCAACATTGGTCAGAAAGAAAAACTTCATCATTTCCACCTGACCCCATAACGGTTCAATTAGTTTCCCACATAGTCCCACTGTCACAATATCAATGATCACCTCCCACAAATGTATTTCAAGAAACCAAAACGTGAAAGTAGACCACAGTTGGAAAGAAGGAGGCAACAAATACCCTGGAGTGACACTGAGAACGTCCACAACATCGTCGGAAAACGATAGAATGTACCCTATAATAACTACTACACAAATAAATTTCACCGATGGCGACGTGTTTCCTAGTAAAGCGGAAAATTGCTGTCGTAAATACGGTAAATTACGACTGAATACTCTAAGCGCAGCCATTTTTGTGACGGATGAGCGAAAAACCAAAAATGAAGAATCTGTCAAGTTGTCAAACAAACTCGAATGTCAACATTGTCAACACGACAGAGGTTTTCTTCTCCACATTTTGTTTCACGCAGAAATATTATTGAGTTCACATTATCCATGTGCGTCTACGTTGTTTATCAAAGTGGTGTATTGTCAAACACCGCGAGGACCCGGTGACCGCAACATATTGTTCTTTAATTGTATCTATAATGACGGTACTCAATGAGTTAAAAAGGTCTGAAATGTTATACTAATTATTTATTTGATAACTACAAATAATTATTTTCCTTTGAAATAGCAAAAAATATATAAATCAACTCCTGCAAAATGCAGTACGTAATGGTAATGCAGTATTCATGAAATGTCAAATACAAATTTCAATGTCACAAACACCACTGACTGAGTGCGATAATAAATAGGATTATAAAATCCAAAAAATATCAAAGCTGCAACTATATTATAGTTATCAGTAGTTCTGGTTACTGAGCATAACAGTGTTATAACTTCCCAATTGAACTTTTAGGTATCTAAATGTTTTTTCGGCTTATTAGTAGTGGGTTGTTGGTATGGTCTACTTTTCGCCGGCTCATCGTTACACCAACTTTTCAATGTTTGATTTATTTATTTTATTTTTAGTTGCGAGTATCGAACGTTGGGAGTACCAATATGGCAGCAGGATCGAGAAAGTGTAGTACAACGCGGCTGCGATACTTAACGCAGAAGGAAGCTATTGCTCTAGATGAGGAGTTATTCAATGAATACAAGTTCAGTGTTGATCAGCTGATGGAACTGGCTGGGCTCAGTGTTGCTACGGCTGTATCACGTACTTTTCCAGTGTCTACGTGAGTCATTTTATTAAAGTAACTTATGTAACTTAAACTTATCAAACAGTTTGAGCATACCATTATCTGTATGTTTAATATTAAACTTCATATAAACCAAAACATTTCATTACCTAAGAAAGTTCAATAGCATTCTCTTTAAAATGGATATCTTTAATAATCCTTCATTTTCAGGCACCCATCAGCTCTAATAATTTGTGGACCTGGTAACAATGGAGGTGATGGACTAGTGGCTGCCCGTCACATGTCTCTGTTTGGTTACAATGTTTCAATTCACTATCCCAAGCGCACCCCGAAGCCCTTGTTTGAAAACCTCTTGGCACAATGTGTAGCATTTGGGGTAGATATAGTGGAAAATCTTCCACCACCACAACAGCTGTGTGACCACTACCAAGTACTGGTTGATGCACTCTTTGGATTCAGCTTCAAACCTCCTGTGAGGGAAGAGTTGAAACCAGCCATGACTGCTATGATTGAGGCTACTATACCAGTCTGCAGGTAAACGTCTACATGAACATAATGTTCAGTTGGTGCATTAAACTGTCAAACACCAAGCGGTCACCGGTGACCGCAACCTATTGTTCTATAATTGTGTCTATAATGACGGTACTCGACGAGTTAATCACTACAGTAAAAAGTTATTCACTTGATATAATATTTTTGTTTACTTATTGATATGTTTTTTTCTCTCTATTATCTGTTTTATCGAATTTGTTATCTGTTTTATGTTACAGTGTGGATATTCCTAGTGGATGGCATGTAGAAAAGGGTCCTGGTATTGCTAAAGCACTAAGACCTGCCCTTTTGATATCCCTCTCAGCACCAAAAATGTGTGCCCAAAGTGAATTCATTTTGGATGCCAAACATTACCTTGGAGGAAGATTCTTGCCACCTGGTATTTTACACAAATATTTCTTGAGACTGCCACCCTACCCCTGTGAAGATCAAGTTGTGCTGCTATCTTGTTAAAAGTTAAAAATGGTTAATTTTTTTTTGTAATTAATAAAATATTTGGGGCAATATTGTGGTATACTGACTGTGTAAATGCAAAACAAACTATGCATAGTATGGTTTGTTTTAAACAATTGTTATAAAAAATTTGTTTTTTTTGTTCAAATTGTTTTCTTTCGTAAGTTTTATTTACACTATATTCATCATTCAATAATGAGTTTAATTAAATTTTACCTGCTTATTGTCTATTTGTTATTAGCTTTACGACTAGTAGTAGACTAGTAGTGACCGTAGGTGTCTTTCCACATTTTCCGGTTGCTAGGTAGCTGGTGCCGGGTAATTCCCGGCGGCGAACCGTATACTAATTACGCTGGAACGTGTGAAAAGGCTGAAAGCTCGAATCTCAACCCCTGATTTTGAATGTCAGAATGGGTAATGGACCTCCTATTCCAAAATTCTAAGTAGCAAGTTGTCTTCTTTACCCAAAGAGGAGGAGATAGGATGATATGACTGACAACCTCTAGCGAATGCCTACTCTTCTCCGTCACGGATAAAAATAATCCAACGTCTATTAGGGAGAGGTAAAACTGTAATGAGTACAGGGGAATCCTTTTGTGGAAGCACCCAAAAATTTTTGGCTGCTGTCCCAATTTTAGTCGTTGAAGTAATGTTTATAAAATATTTTAGTGAGTATTCTGTTCAATATTTGAACATTCGTTTTATATTAAAACGTCTTGCATTAGTAAGAGCATTTTCTAAACGCTTTAAACTTTTGTGTTTTTACTCTATGAATAAAAACACAAAAAATTTCCATGGTTTAGTTGTGTAGCATACATTGTTTGGCTGTCTTTTTCTTTTACACTATCTTAAATATATTATTTCTCTTTCTAATGCTACAGATTTACGAAATGTATTGTGTATGTAGATGTTTTCAATATTGTTTGACGTTTCACTTTTTCGCGCCATTATTTCCCGCGGTCGGCTGTCAAATTAAGCTGGCTAGTGGCTTGTCAATTTGGTGAGGTCAGCGACTTGGGACGCAGCGTGCCTTATTTCAATAAGTTTATATTTTACTGTAGTGGGAATCAATCAATATGTAAGTTTTAAAAGTGTCGTTTAAGTACTACGCACCGTGGGTAACAAATTACTGTTTTTCGATTCAATGTAGCCAAAACGCCGATACCAGAAATCCGTTAATTTTTCATGGCAAATCAGCTATGATCTATTGTTACGTCTCATATCATTAACATGTTGTAACTTGCACTATTTAGTGAAAGCTATCATTCTGAAGTACTGCCAGGAACATTCCTCTTTTACCTACATAACCTTTTAATAACTATTTCAGATCCAAAATGTTCGAAGCGCGTCTTCTCCGCAGTTCCATTTTGAAGAAGGTGTTGGAAGCGATCAAGGATCTGCTCACACAGGCCACATTTGATTGCGACGACAATGGGATACAATTGCAGGTAAGGAATGACGAATGCCTGTTACAGATCAAAGCCTATTTCAACTGTAGACTTCCTAACATTAGTGAAGGTACTCTTTTATTTGAAATTTTAAGAAGGTACTTTTAATTGTATAGTCAATAAGAAAGCTACAAGATTTATAATTCTTATCAGATGAAATTTTATCTGGGTTTAAACTATAATTATCAAAGTTCCTTATTCTTACAGGCAATGGACAACTCTCATGTGTCACTGGTTTCCCTCACACTCAGAGCTGATGGCTTTGACAAATACAGATGTGATAGGAATATCTCCATGGGCATGAATCTAGGAAGGTATGTATCACTAATTAAACATAGCATAAGATTGTATATAGAAGACAAATTATTCAAATCTGAAAACCAATATAATTATCAAAGGTATCAGATCATATAGACAAAGTGCACACACTCAAAGTAACATCAGCTTTTTATCAGTAATTCGATGAGTTCCATATTATAGTACAACCAATTTCATTAAAACTGCCAAAAAAATTATAGCATCCTTATAACACATGTTAGCTTTTATTTTTCACCTCTGATTGATTACAATACTTGTAATATTGGCAACATATTCATTGTTGATGATGTTAATTTTATATTAACCACATTGATACATTATATTGACCACATTGATAATGTGAAATGATTGTATGATTGCATGATAGATGAGTGCAAGTTGTGTACTAGATAAGGTGTAGATAAAATACTGAATGTCTGTAAACTATTTTTAGCATACTACCATAATGTAGATCTAAACACAACTCAAAGTTGAATGTATATCAGGGCTGTCCAAACTATATAGGTACTCTCTCACGGGCTAATTAAATTTCTTACAAAAGCTGGAGGGCCAGAAAAATATTTTCAGTTGTATAATGACGTTCAACATTGTATTCTTTACTCACAGACTAAACTTGCATAAAAATCATACAGTGAATTTTATTATTGTTGTTGCACATAAGATGAAGATGTTGAGATTAAAATGTGTCTATGTAAATAAAAGAAAAAAGGCCTTTGTTTGGACAGCCCTGATGGATATTATTAAGTAAATAATGCACATAAATACTGACTAAAATTGTATCTTTTGTTAACCATAGCATGTCAAAGATTCTGAAGTGTGCTGGCGACAAGGACACAGTAACAATCAAGGCACAGGACAATGCAGACACAGTCACATTTGTGTTTGAGAGTCCCAACCAAGAGAAAGTGTCTGATTATGAGATGAAGCTCATGAACTTGGATCTTGAACATTTGGGTGAGTGTTTGCATTATTCCAATCAACATAAAATGTACTTTTTGAAATGATTGAAACTTCTATACTTCTTATTTAAGGCAATAGCTAGTAGTAAATACAGCTGATCAGATATTGTACACTCTGTAACTATTTTGAGAGTGCATAGCAATAATTTTATAGATTACTACAATCATGATTTTATGGTCCAATTTTAATATTGATGTTTGTTTCTGTAGGAATTCCCGAGACTGAATACAGCTGCACCATCAGACTGCCAAGTGGTGAATTCGCGCGTATCTGCCGTGATCTCTCACAGTTTGGAGAGTCTATGGTGATATCTTGCACCAAAGAAGGTAAGAATTGTTAACTTTTGTACATTTTCAGACTTGTTAGAGACAATTATAGATTATATTATATTAAAATAGACATCTATGATCTATTGAAATTGTTGAGGCTGTTCTGTTATTGTAAGTTCAGCCAAAATATCTAACAATCCAAAACATTTTCAGATTGAACTCTACTTTACTTTGTTTTCAATTGTTTACTATTTTGGTAACTTTGTTTTATTTCCACAGGAGTCAAATTCTCAGCCACCGGCGACATTGGCTCAGCTAATATCAAACTAGCGCAGACAGCGTCAATCGACAAGGAGGAGGAGGCAGTAGTTATTGAGATGGAGGAGCCAGTCACTCTCACATTCGCCTGCCAGTACCTCAATTACTTCACTAAAGCCACATCACTCAGTCCGCAGGTAAATATCATTAGCTGAAGGAAATAGATACATCTCTATTATCAACTAGCTGTGCCCGCGACTTCGTTCGCGTGGAATAGTGATTTACTGCGCTTATCGCGTAGGTGATAGCGTGATAATATGTAGCCTATATGTTGACCCGAGCTGTTAGTAATAATCATACAGAAGCAGAACTGTTTGAGATCATCCCGGACATTAATACAGACAAAAAAATTTAAAACTATATTTTCGGCTTCAGTATCGACTGTTGATCACGCCTGAAGTATTCTTTTAAAAAAAATATTCAGTGTGCAGTTTTGACTTTTCTGCGATTTTATTATATTTATAAGATTATTTTATTAATTATGTAAGTCAAGGAAATATATTCATACCGAATATTTTGTTCATTTCAGGTACAACTTTCAATGTCGGCTGACGTACCACTTGTCGTCGAGTACCGCATTCCAGACATTGGTCACATTCGCTATTACCTAGCACCCAAGATTGAGGAAGAAGATAGTTGAACTAGTTTAATTATAATTATGTGTTACTTGGTATACATTTCCACACGTTCTTTCCAACATCATGTTTCATTACCAATTTCTCAATACTATAACTTCGTACACTGTGTGTATTGCTGAAACTTGTGATAGATATATTTTTTGTAAGTACTAATAAATACATTTGTCTAAAACTATGGTATAATTTGTATACAAGACTAGCTGGCCCGGCAAATTTCGTACCGCCTATAAATGTTTTTTCTCACCTTATAAACCTTCCCTGGACTTCCACGAACATTTCAATACCAAAATTACCCAAATCGGTTAAGCCGTTCTTGAGTTTTAGCGAGACTAACGAACGGAAATTGTTTTTTATTTATATAGATTTGACCATATTAAAAGAAAAACTAAGTTCTATTGGCCTTGACCTAATGTGAACTATACATTCCTGACTACCAAAATGTAATCAAATAGCTCCAAATATCAAAATTACTGATAAGTACTCACTTCACCTCCTAGGTTCACCAATAATCGACGAATGTTTTCCGAAATTCATCGAGGACAAAATACAGAACTTCAATTACATACATTTCGGATAGATTACACAAAATCAACACACATTCTGCTTTCACTCTGAATAAGTATAAAACTTATGTTCTCACATCTATAGACAAATTCACATATTTTAGACAATATTGTCGTCGTGGTGGCCCGGAGGTTTAAGACGCCCACTTCTCATGCATGAGGGTGCGGGTTCGAAACCTACCAACAGCAAGTACCAATGTGACTTTTTCCGAGTTATATGTACTTTCTAAGATTATTTAGACACCACTGACAAACGGTGAAGGAAAAACATCGTGAGGAAACCTGGACTTATAATTTCTAATTATAAGTTTGAAATCACCAACCCGCATTGAGCAAGCGTGGTGATTAACGCTCTAACCTTCTCCGTGTGAGAAGAGGCTTTGCTCAGCAGTGGGCATTTATAGGCTGTTGATGAGACAATATTGACAAAATTTTATCAGACATTAGTCATCCATACTTATATAGCTTTGGATGACCGAGCATGGCAACAAGTTGGTACCTACTCTACCCATTGCGAATGGAAGGGCTCGGCGTCCGCAAAATTTCAAGTATTTGGTACTAGCTTTTCTCTCATCAGTCCATAGTACCTCGAAATTAGTCACGAAAGTTCTTTCTTCAACACTGACTAGTTTTGAGGTGCCGTGTTTGACTGATGCAGTGGAAGCTTGTAAAATGGCTTGCCCACTTACGGATTTACCTGTCCGGGTGAAAAGGTTTTATCTTATAATTTATGAGTCTTTAATCAACTCGTCTTCTAGTACTGCAGAGTGAGCTCGCTTATTGGCTGTGGGAGAGTGCAAAGCAGGATCTTTCTTGCTGCAGAAGAATAGGCCGCATAACTCGCCATGACAGCATCAACATCATTCGTCGTGCTTTTGTCTCAGCCGGCTTACCAGCCATATTAGAACCCAATGGTTTGGTACGTGACGACGGCAAGATACCAGATGGTATGTCGTTGCTACCTTGGAAGATGGGTAGGCCTTTGGTATGGGTCGCGACGTGTGTAGACATCTTTGCGCCATCACATCTAAATACGCTGCATGCGTTTGTGCGGCTGCTTCCGGGGCAGAGCTCAAACGGCGTAAATATTAAAATCTAGTGGGTAACTACTGTTTTGAGCCGTCTATAATGTAATGGCCCGTAGGCTGATCGACTGTGCACGTGACCAGAGGGTGGCTATTTCATCGGACAGAAAATAAGCATTGCCATTCAACAATTCAAAGGTTTAGTTGTAGTTAATTTTCAGTTGTAAATATTTATGTAATTATATTTCATTTATGCCTCATTAGCCGAGCGGTCGCGAGTGCCACTGCCGAGCAAGGGGTTTCGATTCCCGGGTCGGGCAAGCCGGTTCGATTCCCGGGTCGGGCAGAGTATAACTGGGTTTCAAAAAATCTCAGTAGTAGCATGGAGTCTGCGAATTGTGCCCGGTATTCGGCAATAGGCTCACCTCCTATTATGTAGGACTCATAACATAAATAGTGAAGAGTACATTGGTTTTACTTACGGGCCTTAATGTGCACCTCTGACCCATTCGGGGATATAAGGCGTGATATTATGTGTATATTTCATTTTTTTGTTAATGACAATGTAGGTATATAACCAAAGAATAAAATTATTTGTAGTGTAAAACCAAGTAAATTGACATAAATCACTTTATTTTCCACATTATCAAATTACAAAAAAAGCATCATGTTGCACATGAGTATTCTATTACCGTGAAATAAAAGTAAAACACTATTAGTCTATGGATACACGTCCAAAATAAATAAATCACTTCTAACACAATGGAATGCTGAACTTAAAGCTTCGCAGTTTTTAAATACTCAAATATTATATATATATTAAAAATATTCTTACATCTAAACAAATAATATTATTCCCACTAGTGTTACACATATAAAATGGCAAGATACTGGAATGGTTACATGCATTTTAAACTAACAGACTTATGGAGTTAGCATGCACCACTGAAACACTTAGATGAGTGATGTTTTTTTATTAAAAGTATTTTATTCACTCAGCTTTACCTAATGACTAGGGTTACTATACAATTACAAAATGATTGCTGTCTTTATGTTTCAGTATAAGATCAAATAAGATGGTTTATCAAAAACGTTTTGGTGCATGCTAAACCATGTCCAATACAAACTAAAAGATCAGTTATTCAGTAGTAATGCTATTACCTATTAACATTTAGACACATTATATTATTTTACAAGGTGTATCAGTAAAACAAAAATGCCCACTGTTAATTTAGTAATACACTTCAAACTTAAAACTTGCTTGACTCAACTTACACTTGACATCTCTGGCGTATTATATTATTTGGTGATCACTTACTGCTAGCCAATATTTAAGTCTTATAATATATCATGTGACTAGACGTCGAGGTACTTAAAAGATAATGAACTAGGGGATTACAAAAAATAAATCACTCAATATTAAATACTTAAATATAAATTAACCGTAATTTTGGAGGAGGGTGGGCAGGTGTAAAAGTGAATGAACAAATGGCTGGCGACGTTGCTACTTGTAACTTGAAACTCAAAATGAGTTTAAAGAAACATGACAATATAATGAATGAAAGTGTAGCAAGTCGCCATGCCAAGTTTCACTGTTTCCACTTTTTGGCAGAGAATAGTACCGCTCGTTGTTTCAAGAAGAGCGAGTAGCTCTGCTTGCGCGGTACATTAGACGGTGATGCGTTGTCTGTCTGCCTTTTCTTTTCAGCAGCAGCGCGGCGGTTCGCGTCGCTCGTTGCTCCATAAGCACGACGCCCGCGCCCTCTACCTATAATACACAACAAAAATCAGGTCAATAAATACTTTAAATTTTTTGTGGTATTCACACATTCAATTGATTTTGTTATCCAATATTCTATATAGTAATCTTCTACCAAGTTACTCAATCTACTACTCTTTTGTCTTACCTGCCCCCCCTCCACGTCCTCAGGACTCGCGCTTGACCTCGGAAGGGCCCGGTGTTACTTCCTCCTCCTCAGCATCTTCCACGCCGCTCGGACTGATCAGCTGGTCGTGTAATGTGCGCAAGTGTCGTAACAAGTTGGACTTCACGTTGAAACCTTTGTTGCAGAGTCCACACACAAATGGACGTTCACCTGTAAAACGAGAAATTATTTTTAAAAGTTATTATTGTGCTAATTATGATTCGTAGTGGAGTGGTATGATTGCAAGTGTGACTTCTGGGGATGGACGACATTTGTTCCGAGGCCTTAGTACGAGTTTATTTTATTTACGTTTAAAGTAATCGAGACGAGTACGCGTTCGGCGCTCTGAGGCCTTGTGTAAGTTTCATTTACGTTTAAAGTAATTGTATCGAGTACGCGTTCGGCGCTCTGATTGGTTGCTTCATTGGCGGCGGCCAATCAGAGTGCCAAACGCGCACTCATTTCGAATACTTTAAACATAATGAAACTTGTATTAAGGTCTCTGATTGGCTGGTTCATTGGGGCCAGCCTATCAGAGCGCCGAACGTGGTCTCATTTCGATTACTTTAACCGTAATACATACTCGTACTAAGGGCCTCAGGTATTTTCAATTCCGAAAGTCTTAACACTGAGTTTTCTAAAAGGCATCGTTACAGCGGGCGGAATAACATAACTGACAAAATGTGGGTAGATGTTCACTACTGCCTAAATGAAAGGCGCGATGTTGTGCGTGACGTGAATTATTTAAGAAAATTGCATTTGATAATAGTAAAGATAGTTAAATTAATATAGGGCGGCTTCGCTTTAGACTAGTATTTGTAAATGTCAGGATAAAGTTTAAAAATGGCACAAATGCAGATCTTTTTCGACATTTAGATGCTGTGTATCGCTGTTCATTTTTGTTTGATGCGTGAAATAATACTCGAAGTCTTATTTCCAACATTGTTTTAATTTAATTGACGTCTTCAATATGAGAATGTTTCGAATTTCACACTGCATTGCTTAGTCCCCATTTATTCGGTTTTGAAGATTCATATTCTATCTGAGTTTGGAGCTAATTACAGAATATAATTTTATAAAGGATTTATATTTGTTTAACCAATTACTATGTAAAAGACTAATCGGTACTTACCTGTGTGCGTTCGCATATGTATGAGCATCGATGCGTGCGACGGGAATGTTTTCTTGCATTGCGTGCAACTCTTGTTTTGCGCGCCCTCTGTGAAACGATTGTGACGTTTTGGTGGGGCACTGTTGTTTGATATGGCCAATTCTAGACAATCGACATCGAACGAACATTTAGAACAGGGTTCAGTCAGGCAGACAATCACACAATATGCAACGCTTTGTTTGGTCATGGCAAATAAATGAGTTGAGCAAAATTATAAGCAAACAAAGCATTCCAATTACATTTTAATTACAAATTATAACTGAAGTGATTATCATGAGTAGCGGGGTAAGTGTAAGAAATAGTGTATTGTAAGCATAGGTTAGTTGTGTAGACAGACGGACTGCATCTTGACTACTGGCTTAACTACATGACAATATGACGATGTCATTGCATGCATTGATGTAATGTAAAAATATTGTACAAAGCAAAGAGTGCCTTCAGCCGTATCTTTCGTCTTTATTGTGTGTTGCTTTAAGCCTAAGTGCAGTCCGCCTGTATCTACAGTGTAAGGGTTCAGCAGAAGTAAAAAAAATAAAATCATAAAAATAAATAAAAATCTAAAGGCGACAGGATGTTCGTTTGTCGAGAATTAGCCTATTACATAAAACAAATTTCGGCTAGAATTTACATTTGGGAATTATGGTTCCTAAAGATACCATGGTTTGTAAGTTTTGGGGAAGCAAAGGAAAAATAAACACATAGTCGATACTCAAATAGCGACTGTAACCGTATGGCACCTCATTTTTATTTGCAAATACAATTTCTAACTACAGATAGTTAACTCTACAGGTTATTGCTTTATTATTTGTTATATTATTAAATTCTGTTGTTAATTATAAGTTTACTGCTTAACATTATTCTTTTAGTTATTAAAGGATTGCATAGAGGTGCTCAAATGAAATGCAACACTTCTATCTAGTTAACACGGGTATAAATTCGGGAATTGAACCCAAACTGGCAGATAGTACTAGTCAGTAGTCAGCTATAATTTTAAATGACACTAGTTTTAACATTAATAAGTAAATTTATTTTAAAATGCTATAATTACTTGGCATGTCTAGGAGGTAACCAATTACAATTAATTATTAAAAGAAGAACTTTTTCATGTTGCAAAATAAAACCAATATTAACTGACCTATTTTTTACAAACCTTTGTACAAGTCTGCTTAAATAGTTTAATACCCATTACACAGTTACACACGCAAGTTTATTAATTGAACTACTTAAAGAAATAGAGCTTAAGGAGTTTTATTTATTAAACATATATTATAAAACAAAGGTTAATTTAATTATTAAACATAATATATTATCCACGAGTTCGAGTGCCTATGCTTTCAAGATTCAAGATTCATTTATTCATTGTAAAAATGCTTTATTTTAGAATTAAAAAAAATATATCAATATAAATTTATTTTGCCATTTATATTATAATCTTTCTATTATTATACCCTACTAACAAAAATGTCATTTAAATAATCTCTTACCGATACCTAATAACATTAATGAACTTGCGAGCATACAATTTAAGTGTTATTTTATTAACAATCGTCAATCTCCTCATATTTTATAAGTATTAAGATCAAGTAGGAATGTTCTAGAACTCACCTGATTCAGTGTGTGTGCTTTGTATGTGTCGCACCCACTCTGCAGGGTTCGGGAAATGTTTCTGACAGAGGTCGCAGCGAAGGAGGGCCATTGTTTCTTCCGTGTCGTCACTCTGAAGTATAAAAGAGTATACATGACATAACATTACGCTCTTTATACCCGAAGGGGTAGGCAGAGGTGCACACAGAGGTAACGCTCACTTTTCATTATTAATGTTATGAGTTCCATGTAATAGGGGGTGAGACTATTGCCATATACCGGGCACATTTCCAGACTCCGTGCTACTACTGATATATTTATTTTAAAATCTAGTAATACTTTGTCCGACCTGGGAATCGAACCCGAGACCCCTTGCTTGGCAGTCGCACTTGCGACCATTCAGCCAACGAGGGTAGTATACATTTAAGATATATCAAAACTCTTTGGTCTATGTCTAATACTTATAGATGGTTAAGCACAAGATAAAAGACAGTCTTATTGTATGTATGTTATATAGATTATAAAGACTGAAAGAATAGTAATAAGTTGATGACATAATAGAGTAGAAGGTGGGGTCGAGCATTGAAGGAGAGTGAGTCCGTACCGCGGAGCGCAGCTTGCGCTTGCGCGCGTGCGTGGTGTCGGAGCGCGCGTGCGCCTGCACGTGGCGCACCCAGGCGGCCGGCACCGTGAACACCTCCGCGCACAGCTCGCACGCCAGCGGGGAGTACATCTGCGGGACACCACACTTTACCAAACTACGATCTACGACACCCAGCGACACACAGGCGAGATACTGGTCAAACGTCGGCCCATCAAATATAAAGAGCTTCCTGCTGGATTACAAAGCCTCTTTTTGCCGACTACGGCAAAGCCAACAGGCGCATATAATAAGAGGGCTAACTAGCAATTCCTGAGTTCTTAATTTCTTAATTCAGTATAAGTACAACATCATCATTGTACCTATCTGTAATAAAAAAGTATTTAATACTAAACTTACCAAGCTTTCCTCTTCAATGTCGACTTCATCAGTAGGCTCGCTCTTTACACTCATTTCAGCTTGGAACATTTCAGCGATAGACCTCTCCTCCTCTTCAATACTGCTGGCGTCCCATTCCGGCTCATCTTTTATTTGTACTTCGCTTTCCAAGTTTTGACCTGACTTTTCTTTAGAAAGGAAATAACAGTTTTAACTTTCGCTACAGTTGGTCGGGTCCTCGCAACTACTGACTGAGTCGGGAACTAATATAACGATGACAAACACTCTTCATAGGGATAGGACGAACAATAAATCATGATACATTCATAAATACTATTAAATACGTCATAAACACTTACTTGATGATTCAGAATCCTGTGTTTCCTCTCCATCTTTCACGTCATCATCAGATTTAACTTCAGTCTTTTGCCTCTTTCCGTATTTTCTCTCCGTATGTCTTCTCAAGATTCTAGGCGTCAATGGTTCGTCAGACGATTCCTCACTGGCAGTCGTGGTGGCTACTGTGACGGTGGTTGTGGCCGGAGTTGCAGTAGTTGTGGCGGTTGCGACTGCGACTGCGTCCGCGGTGGGCGCTGGAGCAACTAAGATCGTTTGCCCCTTAGGAGCTCCCGGCCTAATTGCTGCTTGCGCACCACCTTCACTTGTCTTTATAAATACTAGCTTTGGAGGCCCAATGAACATTGGTCTGAAAGTAGAATAAATTTCTTCAATTATGAAAGTGTTACTGAAGCTTAGGTAATTCATAGGTTAATGCCCGAATACTGAAACGTTACTCAATTTTAAGTCGCGCTTAAGTATAGTTCTGTCACTACAAATTCTTAGTAAAATGACAGAGATAGCACGATATTTAAGCACGACTTAAAATTGAGTAACATTTCAGTATTCCGGCATAAGTCTAGCAAAACAGTAAAAGTAGTATTAAGATACTTTATTGTAAACTCCTCATTAAAAGTGTGGGGTCTGGTAGTGGAACCAGGACATGGTATTAATTTAGAAAGTTAACATTTCATTTCACCTTTAGGGAAAAAAGCATGATGCAATGTAGCAAAGCCTGCAACTTGGTCAGATTATAAAAATGACTTCTGACAGAATTTAGGCTTTTGAATACTCTTTATCAAGGGATATCCTAAGCCTCAACGGTAATGAATGTCGTCAGAATTGATTCAGTACCTAGTATACGGCTCCTCCCCCGTAGATGATAGTGTGATTATACATATGTAGCTTATACATTGACCTGACTTGTTAGTAATATTCATGCAAAATTTGAAGTAAATCCATGCAGTAATTTTTGAGGTCATCCTGGACATACATACAGACAAAAATTCTAAAAACCATATTTTTGCCTTTGGTATAGATTGCAGATCATGTCACTAATATTCTATTAAAAAAAAATCTAATATGTAATAAAAATATGTATAGTTTTGACTTTTCTGCGACTTTATTATATGTATAAATTATGTAACTCACAGAAAGGGGTGTGACATAATCACTAAATTAAATTAATCTTTTAAAAACTACCTATGTTTAAAAAAAAATTACTTAACCCTCATATTTTATACGGGTTGGGGTTTAATATTAAACTAAAACCTTCTCTGAAATATAACACCAAACACTTTCCTAAAAACCGCATCGAAATTGGTTAAGCCAATCTTATTATACAATCGTGAGACAATCACACAAATAAACAATACATACATACAGATAAAACTGAAAATCACCTTGAAATTCATTTAAAAAATGCTCTATCATTGGCATGTAAATTAATTAAGAATTAAAGTTCAATAGCAAAATTTAGAAACCAGTGTCTCCACCTACCTAGCACCAGGTTGTCCAGGGTTGAAGGCTTTTAGTAACTTATCATCTTTCTTAACAGCTATCTTAGGTTGTATCGGTATCTCATCAGGTTTCTTTGCCAAAGCAGGTTTGGCAAGACTAGTGGCAGTGATAGTCTGAGTAGTTGCCTTCTCAGGAGTTTCAGAACTGCCATCATCAGTCTGTCTCCAAAGCCCTCTGATCTTTAGTACTTCTCCTGCTTTTAACACAGTGTCTAAAACTTCGTTTGACACTGTTGTTTCACCTGAAAAATGATTTTGTACATGTTAATTTAAATAATTATTTAAAAACTTCTTTGTGGTTCCAACTGCATATTTTGTTCCTAGGCCAAAAAATGGCTAATTGTTGAATTATGGCATGCATGCATGCAAGCATGGGTCTAATAAATAAATTCTTCAGTTTTATCAAATATGCCTCTTTACATACTTATAAGTTGTTCATAATATTGGTATTTGCTGTTTATAAATGTTGGATTGTGTTGACCACTTGAATTATGCATGTAGTAGGAATATTTTTTGATCACATTATATTCTGTTCAAATACCTTTAGGCTAAATGTCTTCCTATTCAATATAAGAGTTCTGGGAGAAACACAACATGAATGTAGAATAGTTATAAATGAGACTAATAATGTAACCAGTAAAAATACGCCAGGAAACAACAAACTAGATTTTACATGAAATTAAAAATTATAATATCAATGAAAAGTATATTTAAACAAATTATAAACTTTAATTGAATAATTTTACGATAGAGCACTTTAAACTTAATTCATTCACTGTTCCAAGTTTTAGGACTTTAAATGTTAGTAATTAAAAGTAGCTTACCTTTGTACATGTACTCCACGAGGATCTTCAGAGCTTTTGTGGATATCTCCGAAGGTAAGACGACGTAGAGCATCCCGCCCATGCGCGTCACCGACCGCTGGCCTTCGAACAAGTTGCTCAGGTACACGCTACACGAGCTCAGGATGAACTTGTGAGCCGGTATCTGCGACCCGTCCAGGGTACACAGCACCACATCCGTGAACCGCTCCGAGCGAAGCAAAGCCGCTACGGAGCCGTTCAGATGTGAACTGTGCGAATGCCATTTCAACTGGTATGTGTCCGTGGACGTCATTTTTGTTTCGTTTATCTACATTTCACACCACCTGTAGCAAATATTACCCATTTTTAATCGTATGTATGGTTCAAGTTTATAAAAATGCCGGCACGCATGTCTGTTTACATTTTTTTTCCAATTTGAAAATTAGCCTAACTTCAAGTTTCAAGCATTGAAAAAGGAAGCTTTGTCAAGGTTAGTCACCCACGCACCTTTAATTGATTTCTTAGTAAAGCTTCCATTAAAAGTTTCTGTACAAATCACATAAATTGATATTTTAATATTTATAATATTGTAAATTCTATGAAATAACAAATTTTGTCAAAATCAAAACAATAACAAACTAAAAGGACAATGTAGTGTTTGTTTTCATCAAGTTTTCTTCCTATCCACCGGTAGCGCGGCACGGCAAAATGTCAGAAATGACCTCGAGCAAAATACTTTTTTTATCCCTTATTATTTTTCGCTTCGACTGTTTCCTTTAAAAATAACTAAAAATTAAATAAACAAATGTAGGATCACAGGGCAACTATTATTTAGTCTTTTAGATTCATTTGGATTTTGAACTTGAAGTTCATTGACCTTTAGAGTAAAAAAATATATTTACCGTAAACAAACAACAATCGACAATAATTTTAAACTAGTTCACACACATTACAGAATATTCACAAACATTATCACAGAATTTAAAAATAATCTCTGTACTCTCAAACAACACAATGCGCGCACCCACCGCTTGCGACCCTCGACTCTGGTGTGCGGCGGCTGCGGCTGCAAAAATCGATAGAAATTATATTGATTTAACTCGTAGACCGGGGTTGCGCGTTTATCTTATCGATCCAACTAACTGAGCGTCGGTTAGCGGCGCGCGCCTGCGTCGTATCGCGAGGGGCGCGTTTGGTCGCCACCGGCGCCCGCCCTGACTCTGCATCACCAACGCGCCACCCTGTTCACGCGCAAATTGCTTTTATGCCAAGAATTCCTTTTCTAACACCCCACTCACCCTGTACACGGCATAAACTTAACTAAAATATACCGTAGTGTAGGTACCTTTTTTTAATTAGCTGATACTGATAAGCATACCTAATTATTAATTAATTCAATTTAATTTCAAGAATGATCTACGTAAAAGGTAAAACGAGTATGATTTACAGTGCTGGTAGTCGCTTACTGTGTATAATACCCATCGCAGAACGCAGCTCTTTGTAGACAAGTTAACATAACTACCTAGATAAATGTTGAACATAACATAACTACTTATTCATCCTAAGTATATCAACCGCAAAGCGAAGACGCGGTAAACGTATTAGTAACGCAAACGCAACTACATACAAATACTTAGTTGTATTAAGTTCAAAGATGTCCAGATGTTTAATGTTGGAATAATTAGTTACTTCTCTTACTACAGAGGTATAAATAAGGACTTTTTGTTCTTTGCGTTCTATACGAACTCTGGAACTCATTATGAAAGGTACTTTTAAAAGTACGTATCTAAACGTTCTGAATATTAATTCATGCTTTCCACGGTCTCTATCATCGTACCTACATTGCGGTGCGAGGGGTAGACGAATTTGAAGGACGCTGACGTTGAATGCATTTTGTTACGTACGTTTTTACATACATTTTGTAGTATACAGATAGCTACATAAGTACATATCTGCAGTAACAACAGAACGTTGTTATGCACTAGCATGCATTTATTTTGAATTCGTAAAAAAGTCTTAGTGGATTAGGTAGGTATTTCCATTTAGACTGAATATGAGTATTTTGATATTCTTATTTATTTATTAATAATTAATATGATTTTTAAAGAATTAAATGTGTAATATTTATTATTAATTTAATCACAAGTAAAGGCTAAAGAAAATATAATTTATAAAAAAAATAAGTTCTTATTTGCGCGACACGCTGCACCATACGATTCATGAATACAGAATACGAAGTCGAAGATAAAAGTCTAAAACCTCTTTAATAATATCTGTAGTACCTAATAAAGACAAACAATGTATTTGTGAATAGATACATCTTTTAATGTGCCTTTGTTTTATTTTAATGATTTTTCACATTATTTATAATTTAATGTAGGTGTCTAGCCGAATGCTACTTTATGTGTTTATTGCGAGTTGTTTCCACGTCCACGCTTTTCGAACTTTACACGCGTGTCATTTAGATACAAAATCAATTAACTTTGACAACACTTAATTATTTATTCATACCTATTTTGTTTGCGCGTAGTAATTCTGCTATAATAATGATATGATATTGCTATGTTATGACTTTAATAAATTATAAAAAATACAAAAATCTCGACTAATAATAAATGATCGTAATCATAATTATTCGCTTTCCGGTAATATTTTTAATTAAACATATTTTTTTCGAGGCCACAGTGATGCTATATGGGTCCTATTTTTTTTTAATAGAGTTGTTATATTATTGTGAGCTTTAGTATGATGGTTATATTTTATCCGCGTGTTTCTATCGTAGCGTAGTGGGGCGGGCTTGCGCGGATCGCGTGCGCACTCAATTTATTGATTTCTTTCCTGACCCCACACTACATCCCCCTTCCTATGATGCGATGTAGGTACATGATAGACGTCACACAACAAAACATAGCCGGCGTAGTTATTTAATAGTCACAATGCAGCTTGGCATTTTATCGACCATTTTTAATTGCTTTATTTAACGAACATCGTCAAGCTACTGAAATAATATCGAAACTATTAGAACTGCTAATATTGCGTTAGGTATAGTCGTTTATTTTCATTATATAAGCAACTTAAGTAAGATAAATAAAATGATTGTTGATTATAATTAATAAACATAAAAAAACTTGTGTCCAAACTCTGCCTATCCCTTCGCAGGATAAAATGCATGGCGTTATATTGTGAGACGTATGAAATAAAAGATGGGTTCATTGCCAAAAATAATGCTAGACAACAAAAGTTATTTTTCTTGACGGGCTCTCTGGCGCTCTGGGATCGAAACAGTGACCTCGACCCCGGAAGTCGCGCTTGCGAGCACTTTAACAATGAGCAGCTGTTACTTGCCACTCTTGCCAGTCTTTGGTTTTTCTAAGGTTTTTATAAATACCAGGTGTTTTAGTAAATGCACAAAACATAGTACTTAGATATATGAGATACTAGCGACCCGCCCCGGCTTCGCACGGGTGCAATATGCATGTATTATATATATAAACCTTCCTTAAGAATCACTCTATCTATTAAAAAAAACCGCATCAAAATCCGTTGCGTAGTTTTAAAGATCTAAGCATACATACGGACATACAGCGAAAGCGACTTTGTTTTATACTATGTATTGATGACCCACCATGTGTAACGTTATAAGAATAAAACCTTAATCTTCAGGATAAAATATCATCACTCCTTAAACCTTAAAGTTATTAAACTGTCAAACACCAAGCGGTCACCGGTGACCGCAACCTATTGTTCTATAATTGTGTCTACAAAACCGGTACTCGACGAAGTGGTCCCTCCCTACACTCAGCTTCCGTGCGATATCTGAGAATTTTGGAAAAACACAACAGGTACATAGGTATTTATTTTCTTTGACTCGGGTACTGAAGTAAAAGCCCCATCTCCATGCTCGATAGTCGTGCCTGCGTTTTACCAATGAGGTTTATGTTGTGTACCTACTACTATTCCCGATTCAGCCAGATTTCTGCGTGTCTGTACCTACTACCTAACACGTGTTTTGAAAACGTGGAGCGTCGCCGTCACATGCAGACTCGGACAGCCGACAGACGAACAGGAAAATACAATAGGAGACTTGGTTTAGTAAAATATCCATTGCAAAATAAAATAATAATATTGTTGTGATATACCTAGTATTTTTTAATTTTTTGTTAAGAATTTGTTTTATAATTCAGCTAGTAAAGTACATGCTTAAATAAAATATATATACCAACCCATTTATCCATACTATACCGGCCCGTAAGGCGAGTGGTCGCATGCGCGACTGTCGAGGGGAGTATTTGCGTAGTTGAGCATAATTTGTTTCTCATAAAAGAAATTGGTATTCTAATATTTTATAAAGAATCTGTGTATTGTAATGTTTATCTCTCTTTGAAAATAAAATGTGTGATTATCCATTATGCATTTTTTTATTATGTGATGTTGTCATTGAATTGAGGTACCTACCGATTATTTTATTTAATTTAGGTATGTAATTAAACATTGTAAGTAAGATTTTTCCGGTTTATAAGATGATTATAGGGTCTGAGTAAATGGGTAATTATTATACTGTACGACGCGGTTCTTTTAAGTCAGACGTCATTTCGGACCGATCGATTGAAAACACAATAAAAATGATCAGACATAGCGTAACATTTTATTTGTTATAAATTATGCAGGAGTTATTAAGCTCAGTACTTATTTACGTTATGATAAAATGTGCAGCAGACCTGCTAAACATTTTATGTATATAAAATTGATTAGGCACTTTTCAACTCTCTCATCTACAGTTGCACAGTTGGTTGGTTGGCTGTTAAGTAATTTAAAAATATATTTAATTATTCCTAAAAGCAATAATTAAAATAGACCTTTTTCAGTGTTAATCCGTTTTCACCCTAAAAAAAAAAAAATCAGTGACGAGTGTTCATCATCATAGACTACTTTCTTCGAAGGAATACAAAATGGTTGCTAGGTTACATAGCAGGCTTCAAAACAATTCAAAAAGAAAAATAAAACTGGTAGTAGTTTTTCCTCTTTTTCATGTCTGTTTGTTATCTAATTTAATTTTCATAAAATTGTTTGAACCAGTAATTAGTTTTTTTGTACTGTTCAATTAGCCACGAGCAGTACGAAAATACACGGTTCCAAACAAAAATAAAAATAAATAAACAGAATGTCACAAATTTTATGACAACGTCACTGTCATTTATTAGAATTATTTTGTCATCTGTTGCGACTTCGTGCGTTGGGCTTGGAAATTGTTTATTTTTATTTTATCAACATTACGATTATTAAAACTTATGATGAACCCGCAAAGTAAGTCGACGGCTTTGTCCGTTGACTTAAATAATTTCATTTATGGCGTTTCAAGGAGAAACGCACAGAACGCACCAGAGTTGACGAGAACTGGGCTAAATTTACTCAAGAACTTCCCAGCCGCTCGAGATGCTGTGTTGGAATACTTCGCTATGGTCTTCCACGATGCGGTCACCGTTTCTATCAGTCAGACGGATTACGAGGTAACCTTGCATAACCTGAAGCAACATGATACCGGTAGAGTTTCGTTATAGTTTACCGAGTTTACAGTGTGGTTAGGTTTATTGTGGCTGTTTGTGCAAAATTAATGAATTGACGTATGGGACCGTATCATGCGTAGGATTCGTGATTTCTATAGTTTTCCATACTAGAACATGTCTACTCCTGTAGCTTAACTCAAATTTGGAGTAAAAGAACTAATGTGGATACTCCCTATGTAACATTAACTATCTATATAAGAATATAATATATTAACTTATCTGATAGTAATAACTTATAACCACACACTTCACACACTTATTGTTATTTAAAATCAATATTATTTATTAATAACTTCCTATGCTCTTTATCTTAGACTGATCTTGCTGCCAATGGAGCCCTGGAGAGTGTAAGTATCATTGGGCCAGAGTTGTGCAACTTGGGGCAGTCATGGGCACCGTTTATAGCTCCATGGTGCATCAGTCTGATCATGGATATTGCTACAAAGAAGGCTAATATCCCAAGTGAGTACTCATTTATTTAGCATTAGTCTTGTTTTCCTGAGATTGTAAAGTATTTAATAATGCCGAGCATTGTTTAACTATCTATTAGTCCATCCTGGCCACTTTAGATAGAATTTTAACACATTTTGTATGTAGCATATTTTGACTTTTATTCATAGCCATTTATTTATTTCAATTAAATAGTATAACATTACAGTCATA